ATGAGGACAGTCTGAGCTTCCAGGAAGGGCCCAGACTTCAGAGGGGACACTACTTAACCTAGTACAGAGGAGACAACTGCTAAGATCCATCTGTCTGCTTTGGTCAACTGATGTCTGGAGTCAAAATAAGTGTTCGGTTTTGTGTAAAACCAAGGGCAGAACTTTGGAGCCAGAGAAGGAAGCTGACCACGGCGAGATGGGAGAACTGGACCCAGGAGGCGCCAGTGCAGAGGGAGTAGCCAGCAGATAAAAACTAAAAGATAAGGCCATCCTGACAGACAGACGTTTCCCGTGCCTAGGGGTTCATGGATCTTCAGGATGAACTTGGGTGCTTCCTGTTATTCTAGCTCTCTTGTGATGCGGTTGGAGCTGCCCATTATCACCATCAGGGGAAGCTGTGCTTGTTCCGAATAATCAGGCACATGGGGACTGAGCCACACGCTCAAGTGCAAGGAAATGGAGTTAGAGGTCATGACGTCAGCAGGTGGGAGTGGCCAGAAGACAGTTGTAGAATTGGCTCTGAAGGCTTAGGCTTTGCCTACAGGTACTTCTCTGGGCAGGAGAAGGTGATGCGCAACCTCTAAAGTCCCAGCCATCCTGAGATCCCTACGATCTAAGGGTTTCAGTTTAAAAAGAATTTCCCACAGTGGAAAGGTATTGGTTAATACATACATGAATTAAAAGTAGGTTGATATATAGGTGTATAATTTACTAAAATTAATGTTTATTAATTCTTTATTACTTGACCACAGCAGTTTCCTTATAATAAAACCCCCCAAACTCACACACACACACACACACACACACACACACACACACACAAACCTGTAACTATAGTAGATGGAAATATTCATAAATAGGATGTCTGATTAACAAATTTGAAACTAAAAAGAAGGCTTCTTAATCCTGCTGCTATGTGATGATGTTTTGAATCACTTTCCTAGTTGGCAGACATCCTGGTGGTGCGGTGGGCTAAGCATCAGGCAGCTATCCGCAAGATCGGTGGTTCAAACCCACCGGCTGCTCCACAGAATGACGAGGAAGCTGTTGGCTTCCATACAGGCATACAGTCTTGGAAACCCAGGGAGCTCTACTCTGTACTAGAAGTTCCCTCCCAGTTAGAATTGGCTTGATGATGTCAGTGGGGTAGTGGGTTTGGGTAGGAGCCCTGGTGGCACAGTGGCCACGCACTTGGCTGCTAGCCAAAAGGTCAAAAGTTCAAGTCTACCAGTCCAGAGGAGAAACGTGGCAGCCAGCTTCTGTCAATACTCGCATCCTGGGAATCCCTCTGGGACAGCTGTACTCTGCCCTCGAGGGAGGCTCGAGCCTGAAGTGGCTCAGCGATAAAGAGTTTGGTTTGGTTTTAGTTTTTCTTGGGTTTGAACTGATTTCTAATATACTTTATAGCTGTAAAAGATTCTGCCCTGTAGCCCCCCACGCCCAGGTTTCCAGATCTAAGGGCCCCACACCGTGAGGATCCTCTGAGGTGACCTGTCCGGAGATCCAGGAGGACTCTGAAGCACTGAAGAAGGAGGCCCAGCACTGTCAGGTACCCACGGGTCCCTAGCACCAGCTAGCTTCCAGCTAGGATGTCCTGGGGGCGTCTAATAGCCCGGAGAGCCATGCAGATCCACAAGGATGTGGTTGCCGGTGGATTGGGTGAAGTTTTCCTGGGCATTTTAAGTTTTTGGACTTCCCCCTGGCTTTGTATAAAATACTATGGTTTTCGAAAGAAGTGTGCAAGGTAATAACTTCTCATCCCCCTTCTACACAGGAGGAAACGGGCTCACAAAAGGTAAGTGATTTCTCCAAGCAAAAATGCTCAAGCCTCCACAGTTATCCAAGAGGACATGACCTCTATTCTCCTTTTTTGGTAAGAAAGACATGGTCCTCTAGTATCGAACCCCATGTACCTGTCCAGGTGCTCGGTCCGGTGCTGGGAAGCTCACCCCAGTCACTCCAGGGGGCCTGTCCATCCCTGGGAGGCAGAGATTACACAACTCCAATGCACAGAGGGCTCACAAGAATACGCCATTTGTCTCGCCCATCTGCCAATGTGGACCATGAAACAAAAATCCCATGGTTGCAGATGCGGGTTCAAATTCCTGCCCTGGCTCAACACTTGCTATCTAAGACTCAACTTTTGAGGATCAGCGATCTTAGCTACAAAATGCAGGTCATTACCTGGGCCCTGTAGTGAGGGAGACCCCAAAACTTGGAAATGAGATGGTTATTTTGAGAGGGGAAACTAAAATCAACCCTTGAACGATGAAAGCAAGGAAAAGCCAAGCTCTCTCCCAGAAACAGCATGAGTCCTTGGCCAGGAAGCCTTGAAGATCTTTTCTGGCTCTCCCTGGTGCATAAACAAGACCCATCCTAGGTGTGGCTTTGAGTTGCATTTGTAGGAAGTCAGGGCAGGTGCCTGCATTTCCTACTTAGGCCTCCTTAGGGGAGCACACACCCAGAGTGTGTGCAGGGCTTTGAAATCAGCAGGTGCAGCAAGAGACAGAGATCACAGTGAAGAATTTGTTGCTGAGTAGGGGCTGATCCAAGCATTTCAAAGTGAGGGTAAATTTACATGACACTGAAAGGCAAGTACAGGTGTTTGTACCCTGTGGACTTACTGTATTCAGAATTGCAATTATGGTTAAGTACTCAGAAGCTTAATTTTAACATCTTTCTTCCCTGGCTAGATTATAAATTCCAGGAGACCAGGAATCTTGCCTGACCTTCATCCCTAAGGCCCAGTCACAAGCTCTCAATAAAAGATCGAATGGAAAGTGTCTAAATAAAGATGACATCAACCTTGGTGAGCAGGGGAAACCTGGAAAACAGAGGCAGACACAGGCAGCGTCCCTCCAGGTCCTGTCCAGGTGAGAGACATCTGGCAAACAAAAGTAATCCCCAGTCTCACAAACCCTGGAGGAGTTGATGCATCCGCCTGTTTCTGCCGGGTGACTTTCCGCGGTTCTGGCTCCAGCTCTAGCTCGGCAGCTTTCACCGGAGGACTCCGATTCTGCTGGAGGTGTGCGTATAGGCTTGGCATAAGCAAAGACTGGTCCCTGGGCCCACTGTTTTACTTGTAACTAGAAAAAGGAACTGGCCAAATGGGCTCACACCAGGTCTGGGAGCTGGTACCGGGGTTTCCCCAGGAAATAGGCCTGCTCCACAGGCAGCCAGACCCAGGGCCGCAACAGGCTGCCGAGAGTAAGGTCTTCCAGCTAGCCACCCAGAGCTGGTGCTTAAACTTCTGGGCTGCAGAAGTTGCTGCTGCTCTTTCTAGAAAACCTCCTTTGCAAAGTTGTTGTAAGGACACAGCTACTGAAAGGTACCAGCACAAGGCAGGTGCTCAATAAAGAAATAGAAGATTATTATTGCTCTTTAAGGCACTTATACCCGCTCCCTGCCTTCGAGTGAGTTCCAACTCATAGTGACTTGCGGAGACAGGGTAAAACCAGCCCTGTGGGCTTCCCAGACGGTAACTCCTTCCGGGAGTAGAAAGCCTCGTTTTTCTCCTGAGGAGCAGCTGGCAGTTTCACTGCTGGCCGGGTGCTTCCCGACACGTAACCACTACGCCACCAGGGTTCCCGGGAATCCATGCCCGGGTCGGGATTCCATGAATACAGACGTGCTACTTTCTGTCCCATGGACTGATGGACATGTCCCATGTGAAGACCACGATGAACTAGCAGGCCTGAAGTCTGACGCATTGAGAAGGGAAAGGGAGGAGTGGGCGAGTGGGAACCAGAGGAGCAGAACTCATGGAAGATGATAAAAGATGAATAAATTGAGAGCTAGGACAGGGGCCCTGGAAGGGGCAACAGAAGTATGGGGTGGTGTTTTAGTTGCCACATGGATGCAAAAGCCACTCAGCATTCGGTGAGCAGCGGCCACGGCCAGCTTCCCACAGCATTCCTACAACAGGTGTGATAAATGTTCAACACACATGGCTGAGAACCCAAAGGTCGGTCGGTGGGTGGGGCCTACCCTAAGGTGACCAGACGTCCCGCTTTTGGCGGGACAGTCCCGATTTTTAACAATTTTTCCCGCATCCTGCGGTGTTTTTAAAAACTCCCGATTTTTGGAAAGAAAGCACGACAAACTAGGGTATATGGTATACGGAAATAGCCATGTGGCTATTTCACCAGGATGTGAGTTTTATCAATGGTGTCCCGCTTTTGTCCCGCTCTACCAATGTTAAAATCCGGTCACCTTAGCCTACCCAGAAGTGCCTCCGAAGAAAAGCCTGGTGATCCACTCTTTCCAACGCCTGCCACAGCACAGCACATGGAGCCGGCTCGACGCTGACACAGCTGGGCCGGGAGCTGCCCCCACAGCACGGGCGTAGGCACCCACAGCACCCCCGGGGGCCAGCAATGATGCAGGGGAGTTGAAGAAGGCAAGGGAGCTGAGGCGCTGATGAGGACCGGGCTCAGCCTAGGGACAGTGATGAGAAGCGGGCTCGAAAGAACCGGCCCTCGAGACCTACTGTCATGAACCGAGGGCCTTATCGCAGAGTGGCCAGTGGCCTTCTGGTCTGTAGCGAATCTGTCCCAGGTACCCTGTGCCTGTCGGCGGTGGCGGCAGCTCCAGCTTGCTGGTCAGATCCCTGACCCCAAGCCCAAACGCAAGGAAGTGGGGTGCCCACACGGCTTGGGCTCCTTTCTTTCCTGACCTACCTTTCTCCCAAAGTGGACGTAGCCCCAAGGGACGTGGGGCACCCGTATTGCTCTTGTTTCGCAGTATGGGCAGAGGTGACTAAACACACGTTCAGAGACAGTCGGTGTTACGGAGAGGAGACACACACACGTGCAACCTTCGACAAGGAAGCGTTATGGCTGACAAGAGAGTGGAGCTCTTTTTTCCTCTCTGCTTCCCACACATAGCAAGCACGAGGGGTCACAGCAAGGCACACTGTGGACAACGACCCCATCCTGGGCACCAGCGCCACCACTTGGTGCCCCGGGGAATGACGACGCAGCATGCAGGGATATACATACCCGGCTGGGGTACTGTCACGGTACGGCAGCACTGAAAAGATACTACAGAAGGATCTTCTGCCACTGATAAGGACTATTCTAAAAAACAAACAAAAAGGAAACAAAACAAAACAAAAGAACAACAAAGAAACAAACTAAATACAAAAACTCAAATCAAAAAAAAGGAAAAGCCATTAAGCATTCACGGACTCCTGAGCAGTAAGTACACACTCCCGCCACCTCCTCTGCCAGAGGGTGGGCAGCCCGCTCCCGGAGCGAGCCCAGGCTGCCACCCGCCCGCCCACCCGCGAGTGGTCCCAGTGAAGCTCCCTGAGGAGCACACGGACCCAGGCTCAGGGAGGTGTGTGGTGTGGAGGGCGTGAACCCTGGAGGAGCCACAAGCTGGAGTCCAGGTGGCCAGGGCTGGGCTCCGGTCCCGCCCCACTGCAAACACCCATCTCTGTTCTGTAGGAAACACCACCACAGCAAGAGGGCCGCGACGGGGGTGCAGGAGTCATACTCCTGCCAGGAGGCTCTTGTGTTTTTGCTTTTTCAAAAAACTCATGTTTTTGACATGCTCACAGCAGATTTCAGGGAATAAGCTAGGGGAACAATTACATAATCAATCTTAGCTCTTGTTCCTGCTGCAAAGATGCTTCTGGCAAAAGTTCTGTATGATGCTCTTATGCAATCAAAGGACACGTAAAACAATTAAAAAAAAAACTCTCAAAAGTACTTATCTTGGAATCAGAGGGTAACTTTTGCCCAAGGGAATTGCTGATGAGAAAAAAATGGGGAAAGGAAAGCATGCCGGGGGTTAGCACAATATCAATACCCTTCAGATGGGGAATTTACGTCTGTTGTCTTTCCTGTCCATAATTGTCACGCTCAAACTAGAGACACAGAACCAAACTGGTGGGTGCATCCAGTTTTGGGGTTTGGGATCTTGCCTTTGAGGAGATGATGGTGACTTGCCTACGCCCCTCAAGGAATGTCAGGTTCCTTGGCCTGGAAAACCAGGCTCTTTCTGCCTCTCCAGTTGCAACACTCCCGGTCCCCACATCCTTGCTCCATTATCATTCATCCATGCTGAGAACCAGCAGTATTCCCACCTTCGAACACACAACCCTTCTGTCCCAGAGCCCTGTCCTTAGCATGGCACTGTGGTTGTCTGCATTGGCTACCATAGCACATTGGGGAACTCTCTGGCTAGCTACCCTGCTTCCCCTGTGGGGTCTGTCTCTGTGGAGACCCCTGACTCATCTACTTTCCTGCCGTGGCAAAGACCACCACCAGGCCCACACCTGTCCAGAGTGGGCACAAAGGGTTGCAATGAATCCTGACCACATCCCCCTAAGTCCTAGCGGGGCTCTCTGGACTCCCCCTCAGCCCCCAGGACCAGCAGCATTGCTTCTAGCCCAACAACGCCCAGGCCCATCCCCTTAATGAAGCCAGTGCCGGGATTGGTGAGGCACAGTGTAAGAAGAGGGATCCCATGATGCTACAGTGAGTCTGGTCAATGGGGTCTGAGTGGGGGCCCCAATCACGGCTTTTGGCTTCGCTCAGGATTTGGTCCAAGTCTGGCCCCGTGAGTGTGACTGTGCACACAAGAGGTTTGCACACCATGCATAAACAGCACCTTGCACTCTGCTAGAGGAGCCCGGTGGTCCAGTGTTACATGAGGGCTGTGATCCAAAAGGTCAGCAGTTTGAAACCACCTGCTGCTCCACGGGAGAGAGACGGGCCTTTCTACTCCCGTCCCTGGTTAGTCTCGGGAACTCACAGGGCCAGCTCCAGCCTGTCCTATAGGGTTACGATGAATTGGCATCGACTCCGTGGCAGTGAGGAAGTAGGTGGCACTCTGCCATGGAAGGTTTCCTTCACCCACGTCTCCTAGGGAGTGTGGCTGTCCAACCTGCTCCGAGGTCACTAGACAGAGTCCCAGGGCCTGAAGGAGATGGCTTCTGAGAGCCTGACATCAGACCTGCTGAAGCCACGTTCAGCTAGCTCCATTATTCCACCAACGCTCAGCCTGGGCCCCTTCTAGATGGACAGACGGAGATTCTTCAACCATCCTGTCCCACCCCCACCCCCCACCATCCCTGTAACTACTCATTGTCAGCCTACATCTGCAACAGAGAAAGGGAGGAGGTGCTGGGGGCGGGAGGAGGCAAGGACACAGCCGGCATCTTTGTGCACGGGGCTGTCCGTGCTCGGGTCCAGCGGGCTAATGGACTCCACTGTCTGCAGAATCAGGCCAGAGACAGACGCGGCAGCTGCCACAGGTGTGCGTGGTCCAGGTTCCCAGCACCACCGTGCTTCCTGAAGCAGCTCCAAGACAGGGATTGCAGGTCTCTGCCAGAGCAGGCAGACTGGCAACTTCGAGCAGCGTGGTGTAAAGGCAGTAGGGTCCTGGTGGCACAATGGTTAAGCACTTGGAACCCCAAGGCTGGCAGCTTGAACCCGTTTGAAGCTCTGGCAGAGAGAGACCTGGTGGTCCCCCCAGAGTGAATGAAGCCAAGAAGCACGATGAGGGGGTGGGGGCTCTGTCACAGAGTCACTCCAAACTTCATCTCTGGTGGGCTTCAGAGACCGATCACCTCCGGGGGCTTGCCTCCTTCCATGGTCGGGCTCCCTTCATGCCCAAATGCAGCCCGGAAGTCCCCCGAGTCTTCCCAGCGGTGACATATGACACTGAACTCGGAGTGCAGAGGACCAGAGAGCATTATACAAGAGAGCCTGACTTCAAAAGAGGTGTTAACAGCAGGGAGACAGGTCTCTGAGGAATTAAAGATCATATTTCCATGTAAACATCTGCCCTCAGAAGAAAAATCCAGCCAGGGAAAAGCAGCACCCGTCCGGGTACCTGGTGTCTCCCAAGCCCTTCTGGGGAGCACAGCGCGCCCTCTACAGCTGCACCGCCATCGGACTCGCTTCTTTGTGGAGCTGTTTTATCGTGGTCCTAAAAACAGTGTTTCCCGAGGCCTCGGACTGCAGAGTTTCCGCATTCTCGGGGATGCACCAGCTGCCGTCAAGCCGATTCCGAGTGATGGTGACACCACATGTGCGGAGCAGAGCTGCTCCAGTGAGTCTTTAAGGCTGGGACCACTTTGGATGGGTATCATCAGGCCTTTCTTCCATGTCACCTTGGGGTAGGTTCGCATTTCCAGACTTCTGGGCACAGTAGCCCTGGCACCGCTGAGGTAGCTAGTTTATTGTGCCAACCTGGCTGATAAACACGTGGGGTTAATTGAAGGACCGAGGGATAAATGGCTCAGTGAGCCTCGCCTTTCTAGTTCTCGGGTCTCTTGCTTTCTGATGGTCGGACCATGGTGCAATTGCCTTAGCCAGCTCCCTGCTTCAGCTGGAAAGGCTCACTTCCTGCAAGACATCCCTGAGGAGAAGCCACATGGACCTACCCCGATGCAGCCCTGGGTGCTGGAGCAACCCATGTGGAGACCCCTGCCAGCGCTGAGATGCTTACACGGTCACTGATTCGGCTTTCCTCCTACAGTCAGTGTCATAGTGTGTGTTTTGGGAGATGGAGGAGGACTTTGTGGATTGGTGTCGGACATATGGGTTAATGTTGGACTTGTGGGCTTGGGCAGCACTGGGTTGGGATGTTTTCTTGATGTGCACTTAACCTTTATATAAAACTCTCTCTTATACATGAGTTTCTGTGGATTTGTTTCTCTACAGTACCCAGACAAACACAACCGCCCAGAGAACCAGATGGTGCACAAGGGGCTGCCCCGTTGCCTGCAATCCATGGGACTCGTTCATTGACGTAACTTCCATGGTCCACATCCAGTGCTGGCGGGCGGTGTCGACACCATTCCCAACCTTCCACCAAACACTAGCTTCGTGCTCTGGGGCACCTTGGCTGCTGTGAGAATGCTGGCTGTTTCCAGCAGGAATACTACGTTTATAGGCTGAATGTTATCTTAAGAACGTAAAAACAAGCAGCCAACTTCAAAAGGCCAAGGCAAGAAAGTCACGTTGGCAGCTGTGTGGGATGAGCACGGGGCTGCAGGCACGTGGCGCCCGAGGGTGGCAGGCCTGGGGTCCCCCAGGCGGGGTCGGGTGGGGCCCTTTGGAAGAAACACACTGCCCAGACTCGAGGTGTTTGCACGATGTTGGGGGTTGGTCACAGTCTTCCCCGCCTTTCTTGGGGCCCCAGCCACCTGCTCAGAAGGGGCTACGGCTGCCGTGTGCAAGTAAGTCTGCCAGGACTGATGTTGGGAGACAATGGAAATAATGAAAGCCGAAGACACAGCACCTGCCAGAGCCACGCTCCTCCCGCCTCCCGAGACACTTCATGCTCTCTTAAAAGCGGAAACAAAGACAATTTGGCCTCTCTCTCTCTCATGAGCTAGTAGTGAGATGCTGAGAATGGAAAAGAAAAACGAAGGTAAGATTGTTCCAGTTTCCTTTCTAGAACTCATTAGCCACTGAGGGATGGGTGTTTTCCCTCCACTCACTGTTAAGACATGCGTCACGTGAGTCCAAGGGCAAAAGCAGAGAAGAGCAGGGGGTCCAAGATCGCTCTCTGCAGCGCCCCCCTGGCCTGGGTGGGATGGAGAGAAGGTTGCAGCACAGAGAGCTCTGGACAAGGATGTGGAACTACCGAGACAGACGGTGAACCAGGAGACAGAAGGAGTGGTGGGGCGGGGCCGGGACAGCAGGGGCTCCTCTGGAGGTGGTGGTGGGATTGTCACAGGTGAGGGCAGGGAACGCACACACCAGAATGAAGAGAAGCGTGCCGGGGATGTGTGAGGGCACCAGGCCAGCAGAGCAAGGAGTGGGCACAGGGCAGGGTGGGGCGTGGAGATAGGGAGCCGACACAAATTCAGTGGGATGGAGCGCCCGCAGAGCTTACAAAAATACCAACACCAAATAACCAAATTCGCTGCCTTCAAGTTCATTCGGGCTCACAGTGACCCTGCCTAGGGCGTCTGAGACTAACTCGTTAGTGGAGACAGACAGAATGGAATGGCTGGCAGGTTTGAACCGCCAACCTCCCCCGTAGTTAGCAGTTCAGTACCTAGTTCACAGATCACCAGGGTTCCTTCACAAAGCAAAACACACAACACCCAACC